TTCACGATGTTCTTGCATGAGAAGTTTACGTTGCAGCAAACCACTAGATTTACTTTGTTTTAATTTACTGCTTTGCTGATTTAAGTTAATAATCAAATGTTATTCCAAATTAGTTCTTTTATTGTCCTTTGCTCGTATGTTTTAGTGTCCTGATTCTCGTCTTTTGATTTTTCTTCTGCCGTTCATTCTCCGCACGTAACACTATACAAGACGGCATTGTCCTCTGTGGTGACCGATTGGCACTCCCCTCTCCATGCGCAATGATATAAAGCAAAAGGTACATGTACATGCTGGTCACCTAGGTACCAACACCTGTCTGTGTTGAGCATGAGATCTCATTTTTGGCATGCGATGTCCCAAGACTTTCAGCAGTATGTTGAATCGTGCGAGACGTGTGCGACCCACATGTCCAAACAAAGCACCTAGCGTGTTTTTCTGCACGAGATACTCGCCAGACCGTGGCAGAAGATTGGTAAGGACACCTTCCAAGTGCAAGGACGACCGTACCTTGTAACCGGCGACTACCATAGCAACTTCATTGAGGTCGACTTCCTGCCTGACTTCACTGCCCAGACTAGTAACAAAGCTGAACCACCACTTTGCCCGTTACGGCATCCCCGACACTGTGATCAGTGACAGTGGATCACAGTACACATCTGACACCTTCAAGAAATTCGCCAAACACTGGAGTTTACAACACATTATGTCCAGTCTAGGAAATCACCAGCGAACGGTGAATCTGAAGCTGCTGTAAAGATCATCAAGCGGCTCTTCCTGAAATGCAGAGCCACGCATGAAGACCTTGGCATGCGGAACTTGTGTAATGCTCCCGCTGAAGGCATGTCACCCAGTCCTGCCTAACGCATGTTTGGTTGTCAAACCAATTTCTCACCTGCTCTGCCTTTCAAACAAATTGGAGTTCATTCCCCACAATGGTCATGTCGCACTTGGCCAGAAAACCCACAAGCGACATGCCACTTCAACTCACACAAACGAGCACAGAAAGGAACCCCCATCACTCTCCGTCGGTGTTGCTGTTCGAATGCAACCTATTGACAACAGACGAGCAGATTGGAAGCTGGCTACCATAACAAATAGGCTGGGAAAGAGGGATTACCTTGTGACAGCCTCTGGTGGCAGACAGTACAGATGAACACGCCGTCACCTCCGTCCTGCAAAACACGCTCATGTTCCTGATGCGCCCCTGTACTTTTCATCTCCCTGTCGCCTAAATGCTAAGACACTGCCTAAGTCAGCTGTACCAAAACCGTCACCTCCACCAGCTCTGCCCCTACAGGCCATATTCCGTCCTGCCACCTCCCAAGGGGATCAAGTCACATTCAAGTCCTGAACCATCCAGTCAGGCTACGATCCGGCAGACTAAGAAAACCTATTTCACGACTTGATTTGTGGACTTTGTAACACATGATTCGAAACATGCCCTCTCTTATAGCACATGAACTGCGTAGAGGCATAATTATACACTTACGAGGACACTGCATTGTTTTATTCAGGTTTATTCATCATTCAAATCAGGATGATGCCATAAGCCCTGATATACCTTATCCATGTTTTTTTACCCTTCAGAACTGTGGACATTCTGATCATCATCCAATGAACCCCATGAAACTTCTTAATTAACAGTTTTTAATTGTTGAGAGTTCTACAATTATTAGTTTGACTTTGATTACCCTGTTGCTGTTAATGTCAGACACAAAAAAATTGCATTCGAGTTAATCATTGTTTTTCCCTTTATCTTAAAGGGGGGATGTTGAGTGTACTCTGCCACTGGCAGTACAAAGCCACCTAGAGATGCCTGTGTAATTTTTACGTTTTCATGAAAAGCTGGTCACATTAAAGTGTTCTCAGAATAGAAGGCCTGTCTCCACCTGCGTTGTCACAAAACAACCTACTTGCATTTCAGGTGAACTTGAGATATCTGTGGCCATGCAGAGTGCCTATTGTCGGGTAATTTTGAACAGCACCACCGTAAAGTCTTTGTATTGTGGCATCCCCCATATTTTGCACATGGCTTTTACCTACTAGAAAGGAACACTGAATCCGTTGTTTAATGTAAGCATTATTTGTTTATTGCTGCATGGTCGCAGTCAATTTCAAAACAAATAACCCTGACTGAACATTTATCAGGAGATTTTAGAAAACTATGTCATCACAAAGTTACATGCATAAGCTACTTTATTCCATAAATCATTTACATGTACTGACAAAACACTCATGGGGGAGTCCTTACTTTTAACAATTACAGCAAAGACATGCCATAAAACGAGGCAAACCCAATTCTACAAAAAAGAAACACAAAATTACCCCTCAGATATGATTTTGTATTTTTTTTTACTGCCACAGTAACCCAACAATACCCCTTATAAACAAGAGACAAAATGGTGAACAGCAATGAGTTATTAAATGAACTGAACAAATCACCTTCTTGCATGCAGTGACAAATGAATTGAAGGAAATCTAGAACCAATATGATTGCTTGAAAAGGATTTCATTACAGTTCGGATCTCTCCCTGTATAAAATCCAGACCATGATAAACGATGTGTAGTAGGAGCAGTATCTGTAATCATTGGGAGCACCCCTTTTTTTATTTTTAGCAATTTGGTATCACCCGGCCGTGGTGCATGCCCACAACGGTCCTGAATTGCCCTTTGACAACACCCGCTCTGCAAGACAAATCCAAACTTACAAGGACAACCCGAGGAATTGACCGACCAAAGTGCCGTTTTTTGGGACAGTGCCCTTACTTACCCCGCTAGTGCTTTGCGGAGGCCAACAAGATACCTTGAAGACCTGTCGGAGTAAGCCTAGTCGAAGATAAGGTGAGTTGGCCGCCAAAAAAACACTACATTTGCGTCGTAGACAGGATATTTGTCCCACGACCGGACCAAAGTTGTGGCGTGCTTGGAAACCACGAGGGCCGCCGATCACACCAGCAAGCTCTGGAGTAGCAAGTTGGGAAGGAGTGTGTATCCCATAGGGCTAAAGGACTGCGTTGCGTTTTGTAACGGGTGGGTTACCAGATGCTATACTGAATTTTGAAACGTGATAAGTTAATTAGTGCACGTTTCAAGGGCAAGAGATTCGTAATTTATTTACGAATTAAGCTTTTTCTCGAGGCAACGTTAGAAGTTGTGACGTTGCAAGAATTTCGAGTACATTGTTTCGATTTTTTTGTGTTTCGATTTTTTTGAAAATCGATTCTGGCATCGTCAACGTTAGCAGTTGTAACGTTGTGGGTAAACAGATACTGCGTTTCCCGATTCCGATATTTCGAAAGTGATTTTTCGATTCTGTCAACTCGATTTCGATTTTCGATCGTCGTTTCGCGCACGTACGAAACGAATTCATTTTTACATCGAGAATCAGCGTCTTTTTTCCTCCACTTCAGGACAACAGATAGTGATTCCTGTTTGTCCGGTATTGATTTTGCTTTCTTTTTGTTTTCAGAACCAAAGGCAGAGCTTGGTTTTGTTTCTGTTTTTTTTTAGGTCAGAAGTGGAAGTTCCACAGGCTGTGCGTAGAGATTGAAGCATTTAACTCCATATTACTGTTTTTTGCACCTTTTCGCAAGCCTTTAAAAGTCAAATAGGCTTGGATTGTTGCTTTTGACAGATTTTCTGTGCTGCTTACAAGTATTTTCTGCTGGCAGAAGGAAACATTTTTGGCTGTGTTTGTTTATCAGAGATTTTTTGCTGTTCTTTCGGAGGACTGCTGAAGTTGTTGGTTTGTCTTCGTAACTGTTTGAAGTTGTTATTAGAAATAAAGACAAGTTTGGGAAAGTTAACCAGTTGTCCCGGTTGTTTTTCAGTGGGTATTTTTAGTAAAGTAGTTAAATACAGCACAAAGATTTGCTTTCTTGTTCATTGTTGTCATTCGCACAATAAAGTGGAGTTGTAGAAGTTGCTTAGCTTCAGTCAAAGAAATTTACAGGTCAAGAAGCTTACCTGATCTAGTACAATGGGGAAGATACCCATCAATTACTGCTCTCATAGGGATTTGGTGACCATCGCAGGTGTTGGTGATGCTTTGGCGAACACTATTATAGATTTGAGGTGAGTGCAGAGTGACTTGACTCCAGACCAATTAATGACGGTTCTCGGAATACGAAGCATGCCCGGCATTTTGCTGGTGTTCGACTTTCGGCCCTACTTACGTTTTTCAGAGGGAGGGCAGGGGGGCGGCAGAACACCCTTCAAGTCAAAACCTGAGGAGATGCAGCATGTGCCGCTTTTCGACATATGGCAGGGCATCTTCTGCATCGTCGTTTCCGGATTCATGGAGTCTACCCTTCCCGAAGTCAGAAAGGCCAATTTCAAGTCTTTCACAGGGACCCTACCCTTTTGACGAGTATCCTCCATCTTTTGAGGGTGCATTTTCTCTGCCGCTACGGGCACAGGAGACACGGACACCTTATGGAGGGGTACGTTCAACCCATGTAGGTCGAGACGATAATACTACTTGGTCCAGCAAGCCCGCATTCACCAAGTGGAGGGATGACACCTCAACCCAAAAACACCCAACCCTACCGAAGACCATCACTTACGATAGAAAATTCAGCTGGCAAGCCTTTTTTGTAAAGTTTACGTCTTATGCCGACGACTGTGGTTGTCAGCAAGGCAACACAGGAACAACTTATGTTGGTGCTTAGGGGGAAAGGCGAGCGAATTCTATGCTATGCTAATTGAGAGGGAGCCACAACTGGAGTATTTTCATCTAATCAGGAAGATGGAAAAGAGATACAGACTGCGAGATCTGCCAGAAGCCACCCAAATGCAGTTTAACTACTCCAGGCAGATGGCAAAAGAGGGTATTCTGGATTGGGAAGACAGAGTTTTACATATGGCTACACGGGCATTCTGTGCAGAAACAGGTTGTCCTTAAGTTCTGCCAGGGATGTGCTGACCGAGAGGCAGGGCAGTATGCCATTAATTCGAGGCCGACAAGCATAGAGGCAGCCATTGACCTTGTGAAGTGGTTCCAGCATACACAAAGGGCGACCTTTGGAATATCCAGGAGGGAAATGGTAGCGAATGTGAAGCAGATGTGTACCCCAGAAGATGTGGAGGACATGGGGCCAGAGCTCTGCAAAGTTGATGTCAACCCCCTACCGCTATCCTCTCATACACAAGCTGGTAATTTGAAGCAACGAATGACAGCTTTGGAGGGACAGGTGAATCCTTGGACAGATTGACAGCTCTATCCAACAACAGTAGATGTTATCAACCAATATTCAACCAGTGTCTAATCCAGGCACTGATACCACTGTGTGGCCACCACCTGCAGCCAGTGCTGTGATGGAATCTGTTAGTTCTAATGAGTCAGCACCAGACGAGACAGAAAGTTCATCCCCAGTCAGTGGGATGGAGATTAATAGAAGAGATAAACATAATCACTGTGGTGGATGACACCGTGATGGAGATTTTACTGGGATGGAGATTCCTGTGCAGCAGTTCCAGGAGTACATGTATATAGATGGTATGGCTGAGGATGGTCCTGCACAGGGTAGCATGCCAGCAGACGAGTCAGCTGATCTCTTGTCAGATCCCGGTGAGGACGAAGAAGTGGTTGTGTGTCGTCTGCATTCACGCTGGATGTTCAGTGTTTGTGTCGGTCTGAACAGTACATTTTTGAATGCCATAATCGACACAGCAGCAGAGGTGACAATCATCTCAGATCGAGTCCACAACACCCTCAACCCAAAGCCACCCAAGATCAAAGAGTTACCTTGAATACAGCTGGAAGGGATATGAAAATGAAGGGTATAGTGGCAGGTCCAGTAGAAGACTGGGAAGCAAGACCTTCATGGAAAGAATATATGTGGCCCTGATTGAGGATGATATGCTCTTGGGAATTGACTTTCTTCGTCAACACAAGGTTGACATATGCATACAAGAGTCCAGGCTATTGGTGGAGGGGGAGGAGATCCTGATGGTTTTGGTTCCGAAAGTTGCTTGGGTGTTGGTCAACAGAACAACGCTCATACCCCTTAATTGTGTCAAGAAAGTGCCACGTAGGATGACTGAACCATTGGAGTAGTTTGTGGTGGAGCCCTCACCAAGCTTGAATGCCTTGATGCCTCGGACAATCCATAGTCCTGGTTCAGAAGCAGAGCTATTTGTCATAAATCCTACCGGTCAGAATGTGCGGCTAAAACGTAATCGACAAATTGGGAATGCCGAGGAAGTGGCTGCGGTCAAGGATATTCCCGCTGCAGATACAGAGGAGAATCTGTCGGTCAACAAAGTCACTGCTACCTCTGACATTAGGGTGCCTGAACATTTACAGGAGCTTCTGGAGAAGTCCACAGAAAATCTGGATGAACATGAACAGGCTCAACTGAAAGGATTGTTAATTGAATTCCAAGGGGTCTTTGCTCGTGATGAGTTTTACTTGGGAAACTTCACCTCAATAGAGCATCACATTGAGACCTAAGGAGCTAAGCCAGTGAAAAGCAAGATGAGGCGTACGCCTTTGGGTTTTGCTCAAGAGGAGAACCTAGACCGAATGGAGGCAGCAGGGGTGATTCAACAGTCAGTGTCAGAATGGGCCTCAGCTCCTGTTCTGGTCAGGAAGCGAGATGGAGGTGTCCGCTGGTGCTTGGATTACAGGGATTTAAAATGCAGCTACCCGTAAAGATTTGTATCCACTATCAAACATAGAGGAATGCATGGACACACTAGCTGGGAATGAATGGCTCTCTAAGCTTGATGCCAATGCTGCCTACTGGCAAGTCAGAATTGCCGAGGGTGATAGAAAGAAAACAGCGTTCATCACCAGGTACGGGTTGTACGAGTATGTCCGTATGGGGTTTGGGCTGTGTAATGTTCCAGCAATATTTTCGAGAGTGATGAACCTAGTGCTTAAGGGTTTGAATTGGAATGTTGCTCTAGCCTTCCTGGATGACATTCTTGTACTTGGGAAGACGCTTGACGATCACATTGCCAACCTTCGTCAGGTACTGCAGAGGTTTCAGGATTTCCAGCTGAAATTGAAACCTACAAAGTGCGTTTTGTTGCAACGCAGAGTAGATGCTGAACAGTCAGAATCTGTCTCCAGCCAACACTTTCAAGAGGAACAAGAGAAGGATGGTCAACTTGTCCACTTGCAGAATTGGTTAATATCACAGGAGGAACCACAGGAAGCCACAATAAAGCTGTGGGGTCCGGTTGAGAAGAATCTATGGTTAAACCGGGAGTTGTTTGTGCTTGAAGATGGCATTTTATGGAAGACAATTGATGACAATGGATTTCTGGTAGTGCCAAAATCACTACAGAGCAGAGTCATGGAAATGAATCACGACATACCCACCGCAGGACATGCCGGGAAGGATAAGACAATAGCCAAAATCATACTTGATTCTTCTGGTATAAGATGACTAGAGACATCCAGAACTACATCAGTTCCCATGCTGCATGCAATCAAAGCAAAAAAGCTGCTAAACAGGGACGATGTCCAATGACAAGCTACCATGCAGGGTTACCCATGGAGAAAGTTCACCTAGATTTCATTGGCCCACTGTCAAAGTCAACCTAAGGAAATGAACATATTCTCATTATGGTTGATCAATTTACAAAATGGGTAGAATGTGTGCCCTTGCCCTCTCAGACCGCAGAGGCCACAGCGTTAGCTGCTGTAGGGGAGTTTTTCTGTCGGTTTGGGTGCCCGTTGCAGATAGTGACAGATCAGGGCAGAAATTTCGAAAGTAAGCTTTTTTCTAATGTGTGTAAGGTTCTGCGATTCCATAAGTCAAAAACCACTCCATACCGTCCTGCAAACGGACAAGTGGAACGATTTAATCGGACACTTATGGATGCAGTTAGGTGTTATGTCAGCAAAGCACAGAATCAGTGGGATAAGCATTTACACCACATTGCAGGTGCCCTTAGGTCAACCGTAAACTGAAGTACAGGCTTCAGGCCGAACATGCTAATGCTAGGTAGCGAAGTCAATCAGCCAGCTGATCTGATATTTCCACTACCTGTGTCAGCGAGGCAGCCTGGCACTCCAGATGACTATTGCGCAGAGATGGCCCAGGCAATGGAGAAGGCCCGTGAAGCTGCCAGAAGTACCCTGAGGTCAACCCAGAAGCGCATGAAGCGAGATTATGACCTGAAAGTCAGAACACGGGAGTTCAACGAAGGTGACTTGGTATACCTCTTGGATACCGCCTCCATTCAGGGTAAATGTAAGAAGTTAAGTCCATGGAAGGGGCCAGCTCTTATCACCAAGAAGTTGTCACCTTACCTGTACCGTATCAAGTATAGAAACACAATTTTTACCATGAATCATGACAGGTTGAAGAACTGTACTGATCGTGTTGTTCCAGAGGATAATGGGAAGGTAAAGAAAAGTAAATCAGATGTTTACTGCTTTTGTAGGAAGCCGGACGACGGTAGCTTCATGATCCAATGTGACACTTGTAATGAATGGTTTCATGGCAAGTGTGTACACGTCCCTCCTACGCTTGTCCATTGTGCCAGCTGAAGTAAAGGGTAGTTTCAATACCACTCCACATTAGTTTAGTTTTAGTTACTTCCTACCGTGCACAAGGTAGGAGGGTCCCTTTCATCACACCAATTTAAGGGGGACCTAGTCCATAAAGTGGGGGGGGAGTGTAGTAGGAGCGGTATCTATAATCATTGGGAGCACCCCTTTTTTAGCAATTTGGTATCACCCAGCCCTGGCTCATACGCACATCAGTCCTCAATTGCCCTTTGACACCACACAAGCTCTGCAAGACGAATCCGAACTTACAAGGACAACCCGAAGAACTGACCAACCAAAGTGCCGTTTTTTTGGGACAGTTCCCTTACTTAACCCCGCTAGTGCTTTGCGGAGGCCAACAAGATACCTTGACAACCTGTCGGAGTAAGTCCAGTCGAAGATGGGGCGAGTCGGCCGCCAAAAAACACTACAGATGTGTACCACAGTACTGGGCTGCCAACACTGCTTAAGATTTTAAAGCATGAGAATGGAGTTAGCTGTAACACTAAACCAAGTTTTGGGCACAGACTTAAGTCCTAATTGCACAAAACATTTATAACAGATCACTGCCACTGCATTCAAAGCAAATCAAATTAATCCCTTTTAACCAGAAATGGTCAGGAAAACACAGAGAGGTTTAAAAATTACTTCGACAATAGTTTTAATTTCATTTTAACAAATTTGTTATTTAAGTTAATGCCTTACATTAATAATTAAGCCAAATCTTAATTTCACTTGCATGCTCAATTTTTTCTTACCATTTTCAAATTAAAATGTATCATATTGACAAATTAGATTTAAGGAAAAACTGGGCCCTCTTTCACACTGGAACCTCAAAATTTTGTTTTATACTTACTGTAGCATCAAACTTAAACATAAAGTGTACTTCTCCAGTGGTTTCTACTCTAAGTTATGGGAAACTCAGTACAAGCATTGTCTGCTTCAGCAAACTTTCATTTAGTGAAAATAAAAAGGAAAAAAGAGAGGACACTTCCAAATATCAAGTACGAGAACGGTAGGCCAAAAAAGTGAACTTTTTTTTTTTACAGAGATAGATCTAAATCATGCTGTGAGCTGCATCAAAGACAAGGCAGTCACTATTAGGGAGCTCTAACGGGCAAAAATTTCAGACAAATGGCAACTGAAAAATATTATCTATAAACAAGATAACATTACATTTTGACCCCTCAAATCAAAGGTGATTTGGATATTTCCATATTTCATTAGCCTGGAGACTTCCACTTACTGATGTCTTAATAATGTGGCTGCAAACTTAGGGAGGTCCGGTCACTGGAAGCAGAACTGTTGTTTTGTATGACTGTCACATTTATGGGGCTGGGACCCTCCCCTCTGTGTTTCTTCCCCCACCTTTTTTTGTCTTTTCATTACTTGATTTGTGTGTTGGGGTGTGTGTGAGGGTGGGGGGCAAGCCCACCTGGGATCCACCCGTGGTCTGTTATCAGTTCTGTACCACAATGGTGGAGTTGTGTGACTTCACAGGTGCTGTTTTATGGCATTGTCTATGATTATAGTAACGTCCTAGTATTTTCATGATGTCAAAGACACTAACAAGAATGACTTCTAGTCCCCTATAATAATTTCTAAGCAGAGATGCATAAGTACAGCTATGACAGCATTTCACTTAAGCACAAACAAAAGACTGCTACCAACTGAGAGCACAAGGATAACAGAGCCAGACTAATAATGCATGTACAAAGACTTAAATGCTAAAGGCAACATTTACTCCAGATGAGTATGAAATATTAGCAAATGGAAGTCCAGGCTAGAAAAATATGAAGTCAGAGAAATAAACTATTACGAGTGCAATATCTCTCCGGAAAAAAAAACCTGTTGTCATTGTGACTCAAAAATTGCTTCTGCACAAAATAAGGCCTTAAAGATGTTGCTTATCACTTTAAGAAAAATCTGTTCTTAACAGTGGCTATGAAATAATAACAATAGTAAGAAGAAACACTGCTCACTCTTACAGAAAGCTGACGGAGAAGCAATGAGAACTGAGTCAAGGCCAAGAATGCACAATGAACTTTTGAACTATTGAATCCATCCACTGTGGCATCACAATTTGTTGAAAGTACTGGGATATATGTAGAGATGAATGGATGAATGATTGAAAGATATACAGCTAAACTCCCAAAGGAAACCTTATTAAAGCAAGTCCAATACATAAGAACTAGGTCCAACTCTACAGGACACACAAAATGGACAACTTTTAGGGAAAGTTGGACATCATTTAGCTTGGGGGGTGTCAATGGCCTAAAGATGAATGTTATTCAAGTTTAGCAAAAAAGGTCATTCACAGAATAACTAGCCATATGCATATCAATACATTCATGAATCGTGAGCAAACAAGGCTACGAGACCAATATCCGTTCTTTCTGGCTCATCTGATGTGTTTTTGTGCTTCACTGGCTTTCCCACAGGTCTTAGGTCTGTTATAATGATCTCTCTCTTGAACATTTGACCAATGTGCCTCTGTTGGTAAAGAACAAAAAAATGTAATAATGTAAAAAGAATTTATTTTGCATTATGTGAGTTGCATTATGCAGTTTACATCATGCTGTTGCATATTTCCATGTACAGAGATGTTTAGCATTAGTTATGCATGTGAAATTCATACCACTGAATGGCTGGGATGAGTGCTTTACAAAACATATAGTGGTAGAATCAAATTTTGCAACTGCTAACGTAACATTTGATATAAGATCATGACATGACCTCAATTTTTATCTATGGCACATCCCTATTTAAGTACCTGCAACATTTCAACCCAATCAGAATTGTGCTTAAAGATAAAAAACCTTTATGCAGCACACACAGTGGGAGGTGACATGACAACTAATGACGACATCATATTGTCATTTCCATTTTCATCTATAACCTATCCGAGCTTGATTGTGTACCAGGATTGAAGTCATTTGAATAAAAGAAAGTGACAAGGTCTTTCGGTTGAAGAAAAATGTGTACAGGTATGAAACCTACGGCGAAAAACTACACTTTAATGTGACAAAACCTGACACTTGATGACATCACCTTTCTGACGTCAAAACAAAAAATTTCTTCTTGGACCACCTAGCCAATAGTCTTTGTACCAATCTAAAGTTGATCTAATTTAATAAAATACCAAAATGAACTGGTGTAAGAAAAGATTGAATATGGAGAAAAACATATGAATATGCACTTGGTGACAAATACATGCTTTTCCAGCTATTTTTAAGCAGGGTTGATAAAAATCATGATTTTTAAAAAAAAAAATTAAAAATCAGATTTTTTTAAATTTAAGTCAGATTTTTTGATTTAAATCAGAATTTTGTTATTTAAATAACAGTTGGGCCTAACCATCATGACCATTTGCTTAAAACACCCCAAATTCACTCTCAAACGTTTTAATTGCAACTACTGGTACCATTCACATGTACAACACTCACTACATGTATACTTTATTTACATCCACAGATATACATGTATATCACATGTGAACTGTTTCTTTGCTATCGCTGATGTGTCTATTCTGACCATAGACAAAATGGTTTTATCAATGGCCTGTAAAGCGAGGGGTCATTTGCATACATGTACAATGTTATATAACAGTTTATGACAGTTGTTTACGTGCAAAAAAAAATAATGGTACACAGGCAAGAGATTAATTCTGTGCAGGTATACATACTATAGAATGTCACTTAAAATTTAACATAGGCTACAAATACATGTACATATGTAAATTGCTTCAAAATATGTAGGCCCCTAATGTGTATTGCACATAAAATGATCAATTTTAACTTATTGAGTGCTTTCTTTGAAGTTCCTTGAGTAACTAACTGCTTTTTTTTTTTTGAAAAAATCAAAAAATAAAATAGTGTTTTTATTGGTTATTTTTTTTTTATTTTTTCCATTGATGAAAATCATGATTTAAATCAAACAACCATGTTTTTAAGTGACTCTTTGACTCAAGACAATCATCATGCCACTGCAATTTATCTATAACCTGTCAATGCCAAGTAATGACTGAACAGCCATTCCTTTAATTCTGTAGATATAGGTCTTAGAAATATATCTTTAACATGACGTAACATAATAAGACTTTGTTTTCATTTATAAAATATCTCTTTCTAAGCACCAGTACATTTTACGGCAATTAGACCTGAACTTTAGAAGATATAGGGCTCTGAAAAAGCACCTTTAATGAAATGCAACTTGACACCTGATGACATCATCATGTTGTAGCATAAATTTTTTATCTATAACAATCTCCCCGTTTATGTGCATGCCTAGTCTGAACCCAATCGGACCTGTACTTCTATAGAGGTCTTTGAAGAGTGCACAGTTAATTTGACATCACATGGTGAGCAATGGCATCATCATGAGGTAACTTCATTTTTGTCTATATAACATCCCTGTCAAGATGCATGTCAAGGTTGAACCCAAGCGGACCAATAGTTCTGGAGATACAGGTGTTTGAAGAGTGTACCATAATATGATGTCATGTGACTCCTAATTAAATTGCATTGATAAATTTCTTCCAGGAACATCTGTAATTGCTTGTCTAAGTGCATGCCAAATCTGAAGTCAATTAGATGTTAAAAACAAAGTAGGATAGTTGGAAAAATAGAAACAAAGCCTATAGGGAAACTGCACCTTTACTCAGGCATGTGAATTGGCATGAAAGAAAAAACCTGAAAATAATTTGTGATGAAATTTATCATGGGGAGACTACTGCGAGCGCAGAGTGCGAAGTCGTTACAGTGTAGGGCCCCTTGAAAATTTTGGATTGTAGATGCTCTGTGGTGCAATCTGAGGCAATTCATGGCCCCTTTGCCTCTAATTTATTGAAGAAAAATCTTCTCAAAAGTAGGGATATTTCTAGTTATTTTTTAAATTACTCTTAAATTTTTTATTAATTGGATTTGTGAAACCTGAAATGGCTGTTTAAATATGAGGATGTTGATTTGACGTCATCTTCCTTCTTTTGCAAGATGTAGTTTATTCTCCTTTCACGGAAGTGTTTGCGGTGTTTATCGTACTTAGCTGCATGTTGTATCAATGCTTTAGCTCCGGAAGTACCATACTTGATACAAACACAACACTACTCGCACCATACTTCTCCAGGATGATAAAGCTTGCGAAAGCACTCGCCCACCAAGTGCTCATCTTCCTTTTTCGCCAGTAACAATTTGTCGCACCATGATCAATTCCATTTATTTGTTATTGATTTGTCAATCTCTTTCAGATCTGCAGCTCCTCACTCAATGAACTTCTTTCCTTCTGCCATCATTTTCATTTTTCTTGACTGCAAGTGAATGTGTATACGTATGTATACACACGTTCTTGTACAGTAGCAATTTCCAAAAACAAGTTCCCAGCAGCACTGCCATGAATTTACGTCTCTATGAAACATGTACCCATTGGGAGTAATACACATGCGTATGTATGATAATTAGGAGAATGACTGGTAATGTGACAGGAATTCACCAATAACAGGTAAGAGTCTGAATTTATGGGAGTCAGATTTTCATGTGACACTGGGCATTCACGCGATCGTGAAGTGGCTTTAAGGCGAAGTGCGAGCAACTGCACTTGTCATTGGTTCCCCCCTTTTGTTACGTAAAGAGAATTTAGGTTTGTGGGAATTAATGAAATTTCGTTCCTCGTTTCCTATGTACATTGCACATTTCGAAGGGTATTGCTAATACTGTCCCAAGGCAACGTGTGAATTGAATTGTTTCAACATACAAATTTCACTGGGAATTAGGGAAGTTTTGAGTGTTGCATAGTCAACCAACGTTTACCCCCCTTACAACTTACCCCTCCAACCTTTATTCCAGTTTTACACTGAACTTGAGGACCACGAATTTGAAGGGAAAAAAGGGAATTCCAGTTAAACCAGAAAGATTCCCATGCCTGAAAAATGATGCAACTTGACACCTGGTGACATCACAATGACAAATTTCTTTTAGGACCATCTCTTGCAGGTTGTATGTATACACCAAGTTTGAAATCCAGCAGATGTTATGAAGTACAAACAACGTGTCAGTGTTTCGTCAAGTCAAATAAATCGACACGGAAACTTTTGTAAGGACTACCTATTGTAGCAAAAGTGCGACTTAGTTTAGTTAAAAAGATTGGTCAATTTAGGGGAGTCCCCCAGTGGGTAATGTCACAGGGAGAGTCATGTGGACAGCGCGTGCAGCGTTGTGATTGGCCGCATGCTGTCCAGCCGTGCCGTGTGCACGAGGGAGTGTGTGCGCAAGCACTGCAGTGAAGAGAAGCCATAGGGTAAGTAGTCTCTGTTCTTACTGAGTGCTAGTTGTGTATGGTGGACTTAGGATAGCTGCACGCGGTGTGGTTGACTAGGAGACTGCTATAGTTGCTGACGGGAGATGTCATGTTATTGGTGAGGCTTTCTGGAAAGGCCGAGTGTCACCGCTAGGTTACTGCCAGTGGGAAGTGTATATATTCGGCCCAGTAGCGTTCTTCGTTGGTGCAGGGAATAAGCTAATTTTTGTTGCGTTCCACATAGGTGCGTGGAATACAGGTAGTAAGCCACAGCTGGAGTAATGGTCGTTCTTCGTAGAGGCAACCTAGTCAACCACACGTGTAGTTAGGATAAGTGGTCCGTTCTTCGTTGGTGCGTGGAACGAGATATTTCGCACGTGAAGTAGAGGCTTCACAGGTGCGTTGTGTCAACCAAAAGTTGGTGAGCATATACCGAGAGTCGAGAGCGGTGTTGGTGTTCACCGCTCAGGTGAATAGTGGTGAACTGGGACCAACCCAGCTTTCTTGCGGTTACGTCCTACATGTATGTGGTTGACTAGAGACACCCGCAGCTGTAGTAAACCACACACGCACTCAAGTAAACCACACATGCATTCGAATAGGCTTCACTGCCCGTTGTACATTAGCATCGTAGTAAACCACACAGTACATGCAGTCAGGCAGTAAGCCTTGTGCAAAAGTTAGTCAACCACACATTGGGTTGTAGTAAACATTGGAAATGTGCTAGTCAACCATACGGCAAATTTAATAAGTCATCAAAGGGTCCTACTTGAGTCCACATTCATCGTCATTTTACTGCCTTTGTTTTTGTTGTACAATAAACCAGAATTGCCTTGTATGTCTCGAAACTAGGTGTCCAGTCACATTCATGTTGTTGACTTATTTAGCGGGTTCAGCAATCAATTCCTTCAGCGGTACATTTCCACCCAAATGGGCCTGTATCCCTTTGCCTTTAGGCTGCTTCATTAGTCTCTGGTTCGAGGAAGAAACGAAGTTCGGGAGATCTCGCCACACTATTTACAATTCATTTATTGTTTAAAAACAAACACGTTGTTACAATTTACACAACACCAGTGACAATCCTCATCTCAGCCTCGACTTGTCTTTCCCACGTCACTAGCCTCTTAAAAAAAAAATATCATAGACAGCTTATTCCCTACTAAAACATGGGTACAAAACACACGTTGTTACAATATAATACC